ACGTCTACATTAGCAACAGAACAAATGGTGGTGACAGCTTTCATGGCTGGAGAATCTATTTTTAAAGAGCTGGAACGGAGGGGAAGGAAACGACAAGGCAAAGTAAAAAATCGGAATATAAATATAGATGTAATCCAAGTTGAGGAAATCGAAATTCAAATTGCAGCCTCAGCAGACACAGTGTGCATCTATCAATTTTGGTATTAAATTTGGAATAATGATAATGGTGACAGGGGCCAATATGAACTCTGGACCTGGCACAGGACTGCACTGCATCATTTATAGAGCACATAGTGAGAACCTGCTGGCTTAGCATACAATTTCCTCTCAGCAAGGAAACTGTCAGGCCCAAAATGCGCGTTCATTGTCAGAGGAAATTTAATAGGAAGCCTATACACAAGACTGAATTTTCCTCTTCTGTACAATTATGTGATATCAATAACAAATAAAACATTTTTAACTATCCATCCATCCATCCATCCATTCGCTTCCGCTTCTCCTTTTCAGGGTCGCGGGGGGCGCTGGAGCCTATCCCAGCTGTCATAGGGCAAGAGGCAGGGTACACCCTGGACAGGTCGCCAGTCTGTCGCAGGGCTAACACACATGTCTTTGGACGGTGGGAGGAAGCCGGAGTACCCGGAGAGAACCCACGCAAACACGGGGAGAACATGCAAACTCCACACAGAAAGACCCCGGCCTGATGGAGGAATTGAACTTGGGACCTTCTTGCTGTGCGGCAACAGTGCTAACCACCGTGCCACCGTGCTGCCATTTTTAACTAAGGTGCTATCAAATGAAGCACTGACAAATAAGATAGAAAGTCTTCCTTTGCTAATGTTTCACCTTCATTGTGCAGAATGACACATGCATGCACTTTACAGCAGGTACAAGTAACAAGGATGTTACTTTCAGCTGTCCCACTATGTGTTTCATCATATTATTGTGGCAAAACAAGTGACTAATAAAAGCTGAGTTAGTAATTGCTAGGTTATTTAGCATTAACTCTACTGCTCGGGTTTATATTTGTAATTTTTCATTAGTCTATTTTTTTTAAGGAAATGACTGTTAACAGTACAAAGTATGTGCATTGTAGACAATGTCGAATCATTTTGGCTAGTTGTTTACAAAGAACCTAAAGAGGACACGCAAAGGGCTGGTGTGACAGAAGAATATCCTCGGTATAGAGAGACATGGAGAAAGATGATCCACTTTGGCAACCCCTGAGCAGTAAGAAGGAGACAAATAAGATGAAGAAGAAGAATACGAAAAGTGAAATTGAGAGCTCCAGTAAACAGCTAACAAATGCAAGTTCAAGGTTTGGAACTGATCTTTTATCTCCTTTATTTGAAACAGGATAATGAGAAAACAGGCCTCGCCTAGCCGTGAAACTGCTTGTCACCCAACGTCCAATTAAAAATGGCTGTAAACAGTTCATGCAGTACTTTTGTTAAACCCTTGAATTAAAGCTGAAAGTCTACACTTCAGTCACGCTTTGATTTAAAATTCACTGTGGCGTTGTACAGAGGCAAAGTTACAAAAACTGTGTAATTGTTTAAATACTTCTGGGCCTAATCATATCAATCCAGTTCTGAGGCTGTCTGTCCAATGTGGGCATTTTTATACTTCAGACAAATATTAAACCCTAAATTCTGATAAGGTCGTTTTGTAATCTTTTGCCCGCAGCTCAGCTTTATGACCTTCATGCAGCTGCACGCATAACTGAACACAACATAAAGGGATGTAAAGAAACACTGCCAGAGAAAGGCTTTGAGGCTACCTTGTGTCACAGAGAAGAGCTTCTAGGCTTCACCTCTTCAGACCAAGTGGTTACTGATGAGAGTTTAAAAAAAAAAAAAAAAAAAAAACGTGGCCCACCAGGCTGAATTTTAAAGCCCAAATTATGCAAAAGGGACTAGTAAATATGTGGTTGCTAAGCTTCTGTTTTTACTACTATTGTTACCAAATAAGCTGGCAGGAGATCTGAGCAGTGTAATGTTTGGCTAGAGCTAAAAATGTATATATGCAATACAATTACTGTACCATACTTATGTAATAGTTCAGATTAAAAAAACACAGGGGACATCTGGTAAATGGACTGGATGGATCTAACATTCACACATCAATTTACACTTTGGAAATGCAGACTGGAGAGGCAAGGAACAAACCTCAAACCTTCTTATTAGTAGATTACTTGCTCTATCTTTTGACCTACAACCACCCTGAATACAAACACATATACCCTAAGAAGGGTAAGGACTGAATCCTACAGATACAATCGATGAGTCCTTAAAACTGACACACTAAGCCTTGGTAAAATTGCGGTGTCCATGTGCATGCTGCAATCGTAACTTTTTCATTTAGACTATCTGGGCTTATTTCCGACAGTAAATCTTGCATGAAACAGTTGGGGATGGGGAAGACCATTCCCTTCTCATGTTTCTGCTGTTTTATTTATTTTAGAAATATTTCTGATGCTGCAGTTCTTGAGGCTGACTTTCTGAAGTACATTTTAAATGTTAAAAAATAATTTTACCACTTCCTGTTTGTTAACTGAGCTGTCAGGAAAGCCATAATATCTTTCCACTTACACTAATGTTTGTAAGGCTAGAAAACACACACACACACACACACACACACACACACACACACACACACACACACA